CTTTGTTTTCTTTTTCTGCAAGAGTAAATGAATCCAAACTTTCTTGATGATCGGAATTGAATTGTTCCCATGTGTTTTTCTACCCTCAACTAGTAATTTATGTACTTTGCAGGTAAATTTTTGCTGTCTTCACCCTCTGATGGGGGCCTTTGTTTCATGAAGGAATAAGCAAACTCCACGTTAGGTGGTTGCCTTTCCTATCTGACTGTCACAAGTGCTAGGGTCACCACAGTGGGGGTGGCTCAGCTGGTCCCAGCTAACCATCCCTACTTCTCAGTGCCGCAGAGTGAATAAAAGGGAGAGGCTGAGAAAATATGCATAGCTAAGTCCTCAGGAGTTTTTCCTCACTTCCTTTTCGGGTTAACGATATGCCTAACAGGCTGTTTTCTGAAGTAAATTGGCAGAAAGTAGTGTTTGGGAATCAGAGATAGAACCCTTGATTTGTCCAACTCCTCGTTTAACTGCTTCTGGGTGCCACCTCTGCCACACAGCAAAAACCTTTTGAATATTAGCTGAATGCTTTGGTTTCATGTGGAGCAAATCAAGTAAGATAACTTCTCAGCGTCTCTCCAAGAGAGTGAGAATCCATTTCCTGCTCTATATTTCACCAGCTACGTAACTTTGAATAAACCGTTTTATATGAAAATTGAGGCATAAGGCTGGGCCCGGTGGCTCACGCCTGTAATCCCAGCACTTTGGGAGGCCGAGGCGGGTGGATCACGAGGTCAAGAGATCGAGACCGTCCTGGTCAACACGGTGAAACCCCGTCTCTACTAAAAATACAAAAAATCAGCTGGGCATGGTGGCGCATGCCTGTAATCCCAGCTACTCAGGAGGCTGAGGCAGGAGAATTGCCTGAACCCAGGAGGCGGAGGTTGCAGTGAGCCGAGATCGCGCCATTGCACTCCAGCCTGGGTAACAAGAGCAAAACTGCGTCTAAAAAAATAAATTGAGGCATAAATATATTTTGTATGTAGGTAGTATTTGGATGATCAGTAGAGGAGTATGGCAGGACCAGGTCTGAAAGCACGTGTCCATAACCACTCTACCATTTCTAAAACTGAACGTTTCCATTTAGATTGGATATATTACTGCCAATTGCCGATGGCTTTTTCTTTTTCTTTTTCTTTTTCTTTTTCCCTAAAGCTTGCCAATAAGTCTCAGAATCTGGGAGGTGCGTTGCAATTTCCCCGTAGGTCACAGAATCTGGGAGGCAAGGCGAAGAGGGCAGGGCATGCACTAATAAGAAGGTCTACAGCTTAGCTCTGCTGGCCGGAAGGTATTGCAGCTCATTTGATCCAGGGGCTTTTCTGAAGAAGGGTCACCACACAGGAATCAAAGCCCCATGCTCTTTCATTGTTTCGTCGTTTTCAGAAATCTGTTAGAATGAAAAAGATCTCCTTCCCCCTTCTTCCACTCATATAAATATAGTTCTTTTCGTTTTCCCATTTTTCTTAAACATGAGAATTCTGCCTTCTCTCTAAAGCTGAACTGATTTTCACAGTAACTTAGAGGCATGTTCCCTTGTTTACTTGTCTACTAAAATGATGAGTTCTAAGTCAGAATTCTCTTAAACTCTTAGTCTGATTTGTCAGAGTTATTAGGATTTTTTTTATTGAAACTATATCGGTTAGTTTATGCCTCTCTCCAAAGGACCCATTTCTTCTCCTTTTCTCATATTTGTATCTGTTTTCAAGACATTTGCCCATTTCTCTATGTCTTCTGAAAACATGAGCTCCTCTCTAAGGACCCTTTGATGGTTGAGTGTAAAGAACTGAAAACTTTGGTCTGACTTAATAATTGATCTAAATAAAGCCGATAATTATGCGCCTATCACGAGGGCTTTTAATCATCTGCCTTTTCATGCTTTCAATAAAGAGTCCATCTTTTCAAGCTGTTTCTTAAAAAACAAAACATTCTACTTTTCTTTTTTGTTCCTTTTGACCCTCCCAGGATACTCGTCAGCTTGTGCCCAGCTATGTCTAAGTTCTGTTAGAGAAACAGAGTAAAGAAGGATATATTTGGAAGGGACAGACAGTTGTACTTTTTAAGACTAATTTGTTGGGACATTTGGACTGTTCATGTAGCTTCTTTATGACGTAGTTTATTGAACCTTTCTAATCTTGTGGGTCCAAAGCAGGAATAACACATTGTGGTTCTCAAAGTGTGGTCTCAGACCCAGTCACAACAATCACCCAGGGCCTCTGTCTGATAATATGATCTCCGAGATTTTGTTCAGTTCTGATACTCTCTGATGCTCTGAAATTTTCCCATGATGTAACCGAAACTGATGAAGTATGAAAGGGGGCCCAGGAATCCTTTTATAACATGGTATGAAGAAGACAGAGTGACTTGGTTTAGCTCTGTGTCCCCACCCAACTTCATCTCAAATCGTAATCCCCACGTGTCAAGGGAGGGATTTGGTGGGAGGTGATTGGATCATGGGGAGGTTCCCCCGCGCTGTTCTTGTGATAGTGGGTTCTCACAAGATCTCGTGGTTTAAAAGTGTATGGCAGTCCCCGCTTCCTGTGCTCTCTCTCCTGCTGCTATGTAAGACGTGTTTGCTTCCCTTTCACCTTCCACCGTGATGGTAAGTTTCCTGAGGCCCTCTAGCTACGCTTCCTGTCAAGGTGGCAGAACTGTGAGTCGATTAAACCTCTTTTCTTTATAAATTACCCATAATCAGGCAGTTCTTTGTAGCCGTGAGAGTATGGACTCATGCAGCATAGCTTTAGATAGAACATTTGCAACTGGAAATCAGGCTGTGAATTTGAGTTGGTAATCAGCAACCTAAACCTTTTTTTGTGTCATCATCTAAGATCTCATTGTGAGCATTCTTTTCATACATTATGACTTTTAAAGGCAGTAAAGAATTCTTGACAGTTATTTTTAATTAACAGGCATTACACATTTTTTTCATTCAGTCTGTGGCCAAATGAAAGTTTCTCAATCCTGTCTGCACATTAGAATCACCTAGGTTTTATAGGAGTACTGCTGCCTGACCTCCTCACTCCCTGTCTCCTATCCCCAAGATTCTGATTGAATTGCTGTGAGTTGGAATTTGGACATCAGCATTTTTAAATGTGTTTCCTTGGTGATTCAGATACTTAACCAATTTTCAATACTACTAAATACAATGAATACAGGTTTATGAGATTTATAATCCGCAAAGATACGGACACATTACTTCCCCAGATTTGTTCACACAGAGAAAAAGAAAAATAGGAAATTCTTTATGATGTAAGTTATTGAACCTTTAATAGCATGCAGTGGTTATTAAAGTGTGCTCTCAGCCCCAAACGCATCAGTCACCCAGGATCTTATTAGAAATGCAAATTATTGGACTTCTCCCCAGACATACTGAATTCGAGTCTCTGGATCTGGGACCTGGAAATCTGTATTTTAATAAGACATTCCAGAGATATTGATGAACTCTAAAGTTTGAGTACCATCAGCATCGAGGATTGTTGTACGATTTGGTGGCAGTGTCTGAAAATCTTAGCATACTGCCTGGCATAGAGAGAGTCTGGTAAGCAGAGTACTCTAGAGATAGTGCTTTTGATTGCTTAGTAGTCTGAATTTGGCTTAGGGCTCGACCTGACAATTCTTGGCTTAGCTACACTTTCAATTCTAAGACTGTTATTTATAAGGCAAATAGAGGCCAAGTGAACCATTTTAAAGGTGTATCAGAACAAAGAAACGTACACACAATCATTATACTGTGCCCCTGCTTTCACTCTTAGACTTCTATTTCTGAAGGCCTAAACTGTGGTGTTTTGATAATATCCAAAAGCAAGTCATTTAATGGTGGAGACTGCTGCTCTACCCCACTAAGTGTTGAGCAACTGAAATGCAAGGAAAAGCTACTCATCCGTAAATAGAAAAGATCACTTCTCCAACACATCAAAAACATTATTATTAATAGGAAAAGAACAAATAGAGAAAAGGTTAAAAGGTAGAAGTTTCTTTTTCCCCAATACAATTTTTGGCAGACTATTTAAAAAGGTTTCATACCAGGAACCATAAACTCTTGGATATATGTGTATAACTTAGATCACAGAGATTAGATTCACTCCCTCAACAACTTTAACAGCAGTGTGCTACTCATGTTTTTTCTCAGGGTTTTTCTCAGTATCCCGAAGTCTCATTACCTCTTGCCTGGCTTATGTATAGATTTCTGAGTTGGATGTTTCTTATTCATTTCTCCTAATCTGCCCTGCACAGACTTTTAAATTAGTCTTTAGTAAATCATATTGTAACCAAGTGTTCTCAGAAATCCGTTGTAGATCCCTGCTGCATGCCTGATAAAATTCAAATCCTTTTTTAGATGGGCAGCACACGTAAAAAGCTTAATTTTATCACATACCTAATTTTTATAACCCACTGGCATTATTTTACATTCCTGGGTCCCATGTTTTTGCTATGTCATGACTTGCTTTTTATTTTCTGTGCCTGGAACTTTCTGATCTCCATGCCTATGTTCTCCGTTCTTTCTGCCAAGGATGGATGTGTTCTTTACATCATGTTTCAGGAAAATTATATGATCCACTGAGACTTCCATGCCCTTCTACTTTATCTTAATTTCCAGAGGGTTATTCATGCATCTTCATAAATTGCATCTTGTATTATCTTTAGTTGTATATATATTTTTCCCTCCTCAATTTTATTGAAAATGTAGTGAGGGCAAGTACCAAAGTGTATAAAGTTAAGTAACCCTATCGCCCCACCCAAGCTTATTTTTGCTTTGCTTAATATGTTGACTCCTTTGGATTAGCTTTTATGCCATTTTAAAATATCAAATCTGGTCCTCTTTGTTCTGAAAGTTAAGACTACTAATTAAGGCTACTAATTAAACTACGATGGGGAATAATTGTTATACAACACACAAAAAGTTATATGTCAAAGCCATTTATAAAGAAGCAAAATGCCAGCAAATATATCTTAAGAGTACTATAACATTGTATCCTTATTAACTTCCTGTGTGTACTTCTTTTTTGTAGGTGATTTTCTTCCACCCCCACCTCCACCTCTAGATGATTCCAGTGCCCTTCCATCTATCTCTGGAAACTTTCCTCCTCCACCGCCTCTTGATGAAGAGGCTTTCAAGGTACAGGTAAGAGCTATAGTTACAGTCATGCTTGTAAGCCATCCTAGGAAGCTCGTTAATTTCATGGTTGTTTCTATGCTGGATAAATATTTATCCAGAGCCTGTTGAGAGCTTTACAACTTCCGAAGATCTAAGGTACTTTAAGGGAACATGCCCGACTCAAGCTTCCCAGAGTTCTGCTGGCTTACCCTCCGAAGCCCTCAAAATCCTTTTACCTACTAATTTTGTTTTAAATCCCAAAGCCATTTTTTAAGGAATACTATCTGAGAAGTCTACATTTCTTTGTTATTTGGAGAACATACAGACATGTCTTTTTATTGCCATTTTCTCTATCTACAAACATTGCATTCAAATGAGTAAGGCTGACATTTTAAGGCTGCAGTTGCTTCATGTGGATCCTATTGGTCAGCAATATTTTTCTAGCAAAAGCAACATCAATCTCCTTAGAGTTTTCTCTTCTGGGTAAGTTGAAGGGTGCACATTATACATATCAATTATATAGAACTATTGGGGTCCAGAGAGTGGCAATTGAGAAGTAACTCAGGGCTGGAATCAGATGTGACATTACAAGTGGTTCTTAGACTGCAATCATAGGTAACTGCAGAAAGCTGCCACCTTTTAAACTGAAGAAGTCCTTCATGTCAAGAAGAAAAGCTAATAAAGTAATAGAATTATTATTACATTTTTAGATGGTGACTATATTAGTATAAATATATAGATATATTGAAGAAAAAATGAATCTTCTTTGTCTTTTAGAGAAACATTGGAAATATTTGTAGATAAAATGGAATGGTGTCTGGTAACTTTTTTCAAAATAGTAATGGAAACTACTGAGTGAGAACATGGGTGAAATAAGGTTGGTTATGATTTGATAACTGTTGGGTGCATGGAGGTTGATTCTGTTATTCAGTCTACCTTTTAAAAAATATCTAATATTATCATTTGTGGAACATACAATATACTGAATTATTACTAATTAATTTTATCATTTGTTTTACAGTATTATTTTTTTCTTTTTAATTTTTGTAGGTACAAGTAGGTATATGGTATTTATGGCATACATGAGATATTTTGATATAGGCAGACAGTGTTTTAAACATAGACCTTTGTATAAGTTTAAAATATACTATAGTAAGAAGTATAAAAGAGAAAAAGTCTTGGGGAAAAACTGCTTAAATGGTTTGTTCTAGATCTGCCTTTCTTTCTCCTAAATTTGAGGTTGAGGAAGATAAACAAAGAAATGATTCATTCACTCAACAAATATTCTGTGTTCCTATGTGGGCATTATTCAAGCACTAGGAATGTTATAGCAAAAAAGACACCACTCTGTCCTCAGGGAACGTAAAAGTTAGCGGAACTAGTGGAAATAAACAAGACATATACATTACAAAGTACTTTAGAGTGGGTAAGTGGGAAATCAGGGAAGGGGTCTTGCTTACCTAGGTGGGCCTCATCAATACGGCCGCAGTGACAAGGTGTCTCATAAACAAGGACTTGAAGAAGGCAAGGAAGGAATGAGCTATAGAGATTTCTTGGGGAGTATATTTTCATATAGAGTCGTTGTTAAGAAATAGAAAGCACTTTTGATATTGTCTATCACTTGAAATTAGTAAGTTGCGGTTGTAACCAGTAATTTCCAATTCGATTTGGAGTCTAGATCTTTTAAGGCTATTCCAAAATGTATGTATCGCAAATATATGCCATGAATTTCTTGCATTTTATTTTGGTGTACATTAGTACAATCAACTATCAGATGCCAGTCATAAATGAGAGTCCTATACAGTTTGTATTTATTTTATGCAACAGATAGAACCTTTGTCAAATAAAAACAATATACTTGATTTTTCTGAGTTTTAGTCATTTTTTAATAAGATAAATCCTTAGAGTTGCCTTTAATATACCTTTGCTCTTATTTTGTTGAGGTTGGTTTTTTGCATATTGTTTAATATGCACAATTCTTCAAGTCACTGACTGTTTCTTCTCTTCCATTTTTGTAGAAACGATCTTGTGGCATTTTAAATCTTTAGTTCTGAAAATGTTGTTTGAAGTAGTGACAGAAGACTTGTGACTGAAAACTAGTTACACAGCTTATTCTAGTTGTATCATCTTGAGCAGGGCATGCTGAATCCCAGTTTCTTCTTAATGAAAAATGAAGCAAATATGTATGTATATATACACTCCCCTTACAATGAAGTGAAATACAGACAGATTTGAAGATGTTAAACTGAAAGGGCTATACAAATATTTTGATGTTATATTAGAAGAACTATTAATACGTAAGAAAAATAACAAGGATTTTCCAGTGGGTTCCATTAAAAAATTCAAACACGGGGCTCTCAATAAATTATTAAGAATTTTTTTTTCATATGGACCTTGTTCTGTTAGATGTACTCAAGCCATGGCTTTGTTTTTGAAGAGGAAGGAAATAAGCAAAACGCCTGTTGCCATGTTGGCTTATGTTCTCTGTAAAACAGAAGGGAGAAGGATAAAAAATAAAATACAGTTTGCCAAATGGAAAAGGACAAATCTGGTAGGGAGAGGCCTGTTATTTTTGAGACGCTTCATGTGGAAGATTGTTGATGAGTTCAAAAGAAAATGGACATGCCCTCCCGTTGTGTAGTGGTGACTTAGATGTGACAGCGGCTTGGCCCTGCTCTGGTCATGTGTGTGCCACCTAGAGATATGAGCCATGATAGAGCCTAAAGTGGTATGATCACTGGAGAAAATTTTGCACATTTTCCTCTTAGCTATGGTAAAACCTCATATTGCCAAGTCCAAATTATAGCTGGTAAATGTGTGTTTTTATGTAGAAGACTGTTTGTGTTTCCAGCCAGATTTTCAGGTCAGAGCCAAAAGAATGTCTACTAAGAGTGATTATAAGATTTGTAAGATTTTCAGAGCAAAAAGGGACCTTGGAGATCATTTAGTCCAACTCTGGTGCCACGTATCTAGTTGCAGTCTTTTCAAGAACTTGCTAAATTAATTTCCCCCTTTTTTTTTGGAAATCGGGAAACTGAGACCTAAGAAATTCTGAATATTGGATCCTCTGGTTTCTGACAGAACTTACTGAATTTGAAGTTTTGATTCCTGGCCTTGACTTTCTTCCTGCTGTCCCAGATGGCCCATGAACTTGGCTTTGCTTTACTTCTCTCTCAGACGGCAAGGCTCTGAGATTCGGTGCAGAGGGTTACATGTTTTTATTTGGAAGGACCAGGTGATGCTTGAGTTTTCCTTGGCTGTCTGAGTTTTTGATGGATGCTATAAGCCTTTATTTTTTCAAAAAAAGGCAAATATTTAGCCTTAAGGATTCTGGTTTAACAATTCTCATTTTCATGTGGAAGGATGAATCTTAGAAAACGAGTGAGAGATTTGGTTTGCTTCTCTGTCAGAATTAACATGACCTCCATGCCTGTGATGTTTGTAGTGACATGTTAGCAGTCACTTTATTAATTCATTTGTTGTTCATTCATTCAATGCAAATTGAATACTTCTTATAAGTAGACATATATGGTAATGATTATAGCCTTAGAACTTGGCATCATAGTTTAATACTCTGAGTCTCAATCTTGGGACAGTCAGTTTTATTCTCATCTGACACCCCAGTTGGCAATATCTTCCTCTTTTCAGCCAGCCCATAGGCAGGTATTATATAACGTTGCTTTGTATAGTTACAAAGAAGGTACATGTCTCATAATTTCAGGCTTTCAAGGAAATTAGAGTTGATACATGCAAGTCCCTTTCTGTTGTTTGAATGTTGTAATTTTTTCGGACGTGACAAAATGTTTATGGGTAACTATGATAGGTGAGGCAGTGCTGCAGGATAAGGAGATGGATCAGATACAGGACTCAGAATCACATTTGGCAGATGCATATACACAGACATTTAAGTCGTTTTATGGTAAATTATGCTTTAGTCATCATACTTTGATCAGAAGCACAATCTAAGTCCTAAGTTAGCGATGGAGAGTGAGGGAAGTAAATTAACTATGATTGGAGAAAGAAGGATTCATAGAAACAACTTAAATGAAACTGAACTTTGATGGTTGGGTGGGACCTTAATTTTCAGATAGGGGAGTGGATTTCTCAGCAACGAAGTAAAGGAATTAAAACACAGAAGGAGGAAAGCTCAAAGTAAGTGTGATAGGGCTTGTGTTTCTAGCTGTGGAACTTTCTCTTTGTTCTGAAACCATTGACAATGTATTGGAGGGGCTTGTTGTTATTTTAAATATAAGGGAGATATCCCCAGATCTGTCGTTGGATGCCAAGTGGTGCTGTTAACATAAATTAAGACAAAACATATTACACTTGCAGGAAACCCCATGCAAACAATTCCGTGTTGTCTGGTAGACTTCCTTCAGATCGCTGGGCACTTACTTGTTGATAGCTGATGGCTCTGAGTTCAGGGGCTCAATATTTAACTTCCTTGTTTTATGTCATCTTTGCTTGTCTTTTCTTGGTGACTTCCAGTTGTCAGCTTCTAATTCTGCTTCTGTATTTGTTTTCTAGTCCTGTGGCTTGCTTTTATTTGCCTACTATCCAGTATCTGCATAGCTCTGGTCTTCCTCTCTCCTTTGCTGTTCGGTCCTGCGAAATGGTCAGGCTTGCTAGTGTAACTCCAGTCCCTCTATGTTAAAAAAAACAGAGGGGTTTTGTCTATTGGCGATTACTTCAAATGTTAAAATTTCTCTTTGTTTATTGAAAAGGAATTTGTTACTTTATGATTTCTTCACATTGATTTTCTTTTTCCTCTTTGAAAACACGATGCAAAGTCAATGGGCAGGCCAGGAGAGATAGGTGCTGTGCGTAACAAGGAGATGATGAGTAAAGCTACTGAAAGATGTTACTTTTCTAAGGAGTGAGTAAGCACAGACATGAGCTATGCCCAGAATTAGTGGAAAAGAGCAGAAACCTCTGAAATTGTTTATTTTAAAGTCAGCCTCCAAAGGTTCTTGAGCAAATAGTCTTATTCTTGTGAAAACAATTCAAAGCTCCTATATGTGTATGAT